CTTGTCAACTGTTTGTAAATGGGCCATCCTGATATCATTACTAAAAGTTTTTTTCTTCCTGCTGATAATATCCCACCTTAATTGATTAGTCTCATTAGAGTTGGTATGGCAACACTCATTTTTCTATGGTGTGTGTGTGTGTGTGTGTGTGTGTAATCTCTTCCTACTATATTTTCCACTGCATGCATCCGATGAAGTGGGTTCTAGCCCACGAAAGCTTATGCTCAAATAAATTTGTTAGTCTCTAAGGTGCCACAAGTACTCCTCGTTCTTTAAGTTAAAGAGCGTCTCTCCAATTGCTCTGTGAAGGACCTACCCAGACCAGGGAGTATGAACAGCATGGGGCACTGGGAATTCGCACATGAGGGGGTCAAAGCCCCTTGCTGTGCATGCACTCCCAGGAGGCAAAGGTCAGCCACCCCTTTCTTTAAAGACCCAGCTGCTCTTGGCTCTTTTACTCCCATGGAAGATGGGAGGATGTTGGGTATGACAAAGTTCACTGTGACTACCAGCCCTCCCAGGCTAGCCTGTGCTGGTGGGGGGCGATCTCAGTTGTCTTCCCCAGCAGGCAGAGGGCAATCTGTGCTGTCTTTTCAGCTTATCTGCTCCAGGTCACAGATTTTGTGGGGGAGTTGGTCTGAGGATCCCTACAGCATGCCTCTTCCAAACTCAACTCACATGGTCCAAGTTTCCTTAAGGGAACAGGGTAAGCAACCCTGCTTCCCTGTCTCAGCCTAGCTACTCACACAGTCCTCTCTCTTCAGGAGACTAGGAATCCCCATTACCTCCTGTCCCCTGCTCCTTCACACACACACACACAAGGAATCAGGTCCCTTCCAGTCCTCACTCTGCCTCTTCTCTGTTGGGGGAGACCAGTGAGGGGTGCTGCCTCCCCTTCCCCACCTGGCTGTTTCATGGATTTATTTATTTTTTAATTCAGAGGAGAGAGGCTTCTACTTTCCCCTCCAAATCCACTGTCTCTTGGCTTCTTGACCTGTTCTGTGGTAGGGGTCTTACTCAAGGTAATCTACCCTTCAGGGGGGGTTGCTCTCCTCCAAACTATCTCTGGAACCTGTTGATGAGCACAGGGGTAAAGCACTAAACATAGTGCCCCATATCCATGTTGAGGGTTCTAGGGAGCAAAGAGAGAAGTTCTCTCTCCATCCTGTGCAAAGATACAGGAAAGTAAACGTCCTTCTGGTCCCAAACTTCAAAACAGCAGCAGCTAAAAGCTACCATGGTACTCACACTGCAGAACCTGAAGAATAGCATACAGATGAGTTTCCTTCAGAGCAGTTCACAAAAGTAATCATCTTTCATATTGAAATAGGAACATTTACAAGTTAATCGAAAGGTCTGAAATCCATTTGAGGGCTTCAGGAGATGCTATAGCTCCTGTAAATGAAAAGGTGGGGCACTTGGTTCACAGTGTTTGACAGTTTGGAGGTCTCCGCATTCATGCTGTGGCAAATACTTGATTCTTCTTTAGTGCAGCAGGTGCATGCAATCCATGTAACGTCCCAATACGGCTGATAGTCATCCATTGTCTTTAGCAGAGCAAGAAACCAGGAGAGATTTAAAGAAACCAGGATCATCTTCATGATGTATGTTATTTATGTCAGAGCCTGCCCATTGCATCTGCCAGGGTTGAAGTTGATAACAGAAGAGCTTCTCTAGATGCTCTGAATGGTCAGAGGGGCTTAAGACAAGTGTGAGGCAGGTGAAAAAAAGTGTGAGGTCATGGAGTGGGAGCTGTGGTTAGTAACAGCTTTCTTGTACTTATGCAACATATTCCTCTCTCACTGGCTGGTTGGAGGAAGGATGTTTGTGAGGACTGGAAACCAAGGCAGTACAATGGACTTCAGGGTACCAGTTACAAGTCTGAGACATTTAGTTGGATATCAACCAGGTCTCTATGCAAGCTTTTTCCCTGAACAGGTACACAGTACTTAGCCGTGGAATAAACTGATCCCTTGGGAGGCCAACGTACAGACTCTGCTTTTTGCCAACCTGACTGCTGATGGAAATGGAACGTTCTGTCCAAAAACACTGACCTAATGCATCAAAACATCTGGTTGCACTGAAGAGGTTGGATCGCTTCAGCAGAGCCCCTTATGCCAGATAGTGTCACAGGCTGATGACAAGTTGCAGCTGTTTTAAGCTTCTGCTGAAAGCTGGCCTCAATATGTGTAGTCAGTGCAAACAACTGGTCACAGCAGCTTTGCCCTGCCCTGAAACCTGCCTATGCTGGGGGAACCATAGTCTGCCTCGCCAGGATTGCTCGCGCCAGTAATTTCTCTCTCCTCTGTACAACATACATAGGGCAATAGCTTTCGGGGTTATTGAATGGTTTTCCAGGTGTGACATTGTGTAATTAAAATATAATCATCCAAATCATTATTTCTACCATTCTTATATACTTGCAACGAATCTTATGAAGAGTGTA